ACATTTGACCCGTGCTATTCGTTGTTTATCCTGTTCGACATTTGACCCGTGCTATTCGTTGTTTATCCTGTTCGACATTTGACCCGTGCTATTCGGCTTTTTAACTATTGGGTTATAACAGACTTTTCGTATTTTTAACTATTCGTTTTTTTTACTTAATCGATTAATAATCAAGACAATTACTTTGCCTTGTTGTTGGTAATAAAAAATGGCGGTACCTCAAGAGTTGGTTATGATGTAAATAACATATAATGTAAAACTGAGGCACTTACACTGACGATGTAAACTCTAACAAGGCATTCTATTGGTTCAGATGGTGGGAGATTGGTGAAGAGAGTTTCTGGTAATTCTGCTTCTCCTCCATCGTACTCTGGCATCGGGTAAATACGGAATGATCCCTTTCAATGAAAAAAAAACGCACAAAATTCAGAGAGTGACAACGATAGGAATTAAAAAAAACGATGTTGACGATAATAAGTGGATTGTTTGCTGAATGCTCAATTTTCAAAATGGATGACCGGATTTTTTCGTTAATGAGTTGTTGGTGACCATGCAAATAATAGTAGAGGTCAGTTTGTGATGTGATGATGTTGACGTTGATAATGATTATAATGATGGTGATAGTAATGATAAAGAGGATGATACTGAAGTGGCTTGATTGCCTACAGCCAAAATCAAAGGTATAACTAGTACATGATAACTGTTCAAAAAAGCAATGTATCTGGCAGCAATGATTACAACCAATTGTAAACCCCCTCTCTGCCATCCCCGCCACCTAACAACCTAAAGAGATGATTTCCATTTATTAATATTGACTGAAGATACCTTGAATTCTCCCACTACTTTCTGCTGTTCATCCTCATCTCCTCCCTTTCTCTTCTTCTTCTTCCCACGATACAAAGGAAATGTAGCAATGACATCCTCGAAGCTACCGAATGTTTCAATTCTTTCGAGTTCTTTGGGATAAACCTGGTCATAAACAGTTAGAATTACAATCTGCCTAAAACTAAATTGCTATTGATTGCATTTGGCGTGGGTCAAGATTGTTTACAAATAGGTAAGAGAATTAGGTCACAATAATTGAACGACAAGATCTTTAAGGCGATGTTAGACAAATGGAATGAAATGACACGCTGCGAAGAGATTGTCATTTTGAGTTGCAAGATATTGACTTCATGTCAAAAGCTCCTAACGTATGTTTCCAAAGTCGGAATTTAATCCTTGAGAGTAAAAATTAAACGAATCACAATAAAACGTATATACCTTACAATGTTCCCCCATTTCAGACCACGTGTCATTCCCTAGAGTATCATTTCTCGGTTGCGCAGAAGACACATGGATATAGATGAAAGGGAGAACCTACATAGCACTCAGTTGATGYAAATGTATTCAGAAAATCTATCGTATTCTATTGTCGTTCCATCCATTGTATTAGTTGTGATTCATTGTACTCTTATGTATACATTACATCAACTGCTTGCTACGTAGGCTCTCCCATGGATGAAAATCAAACACAGACTCTTATTCTAAAGAGAATGACGCGTGGTCTGAATAGAGACTACGCCCCGGGTAAGTTGACATACCGTTAGATGGTCATATCCACGTTCTCGGTACTTCCTGATGTGAACATTACCGTCTTCTTCATCAGGAGATATTAGAGACAACATCTGTGTAACACATTAATAATTACAGGTATTATAAGACTCATAAACGATCAAATTGGGACAACACTGTTATAGTCTATGTCGTATTATGATCGATGTTTTTTAAAACTATAACATTTGGCGCAATCCAACCCAACAGTCATGTTGAAATACGTAAGGTGTTCCACAGGTTCAATACTTGGACCTATATTTTTGAGGTCACATTTACTTTTTGCTAATAGTACAAATTTACATCAAAAAGGCGGCATTTCTAGCAGTATTATGGTATATTATGGTGTTCCACAAGGTTCAATACTTGGACCTATAATTTTGAAATGACAAGTACGTTTTGCTAATACACGAATTTACACCCAAAAGTCGGCATTCATCATAATTCCATACTGCTCAATTTAATGACGTCCTTGGAGTCCCACAAGTTCAATACTAGGACCTTTCACTTACCTTCTTAGATTTTGGGGTAGCAATATCTTCTCCAGCAAGGGAAGCGTGATACTTGGACCACCAATCAAACTTTTCTTCGGGCTCCTATACAAAATATAAGTCAACAGTTTTACACCTTTTCAAATCAATTTGATCGCCATTACTATTCAAAGTTTCTCCTCATTCTAGTACCTTAGCCCTTTCTTCTGGTGTTTTCTTCGGACGTTTTCTCTTGGGAGGAATTTCAGTTTTCTCTTGAGTAGCAGCTTTGTTAGGATCACGTGGAGCTGGTCCGGGAGAGGGGGGAATGATCTGAGAACCAGTTCTCGGACCCATTCCCCGACCTTGACCTTGACCCTGACCTTGGGGTTGTCCTTCTCCTTGCCCTTGCCCTGCACCGGATCCTGATGCCTCTCCAGGTGGAGGTACTGGAATCAATTGGCCTTCAGTAGAGGTACCTGCGTTGCCTGGTGGTGGTGACCCCGGTACGGCACCTGATGGTTGTCCCATTGGTGGTGTCCTTTGTGGTGCAGGACCTTTGGGAGTCTCCACTGTAACAAATACAAGACGAGGAGTGGTTTCAGGGCAGTCATATTGTGTGGGAGAAAGAAATAAACACTATGCATACAGCCTCTGAGCTGATCAGCGTGTTATAATAATCTATGCATACAGCCTCTGAGCAGATCAGCGTGTTATGATAATAATAATGGGGTTCTTGTATAGCGCATTTTACATTGTCTCAATGCGCTTTACATTTATAAGTAGTGGAGGACTACGGGCTGAATTGTTTACTTTATGGGCTGCAATGTTAATTGCTGTGGAAGGAGGAAAACACTCGAATCAAAGAAGACACCCAGCAAAGTTTGCTCAGATGTGATTGTAGGTCCATGAACCCCAGAGGTAAGAGACTAACCTTCAATCTGAAGAGTCGATGGCGAAGGGGGAGGAGCGCTGCGGAATCGCTTGAGTGACTTGATGGAATGCACGCCTACAGTAGGTCTGCGACCGAATGTCCTGTTGTCTTGGATACGAATATTCATGGGTGGTGTGTACATCTCTTCTACTGGCAAGTTCTAAAGAAATAATAAAACAAACATTGAAGAATGAGAATTTTAGTGTATTGAGACATTGGCATACTGTAGAAATGAGTTTGTAGTCAAGGTTCACAGCGGTATTCACTGAATGAGGAAAAGGACTATTATTAGTATTAACAAAAACAAACAAACAAATGAACGAACATAAAAAAGTCTTCAATTTACCAGAATCTTCCTTGGTAAAATTGGGCGGCCAAAGTTTGGACATTTCTTAGTGTTAGTGAGAATATCAGATTCGATAATCTCTCCTCCTATCTCGAACTGCACGCTGGGACTTTTCACACTCGCAAGCTGGAACTTCTTCATGTTTCGTACACCCCAACAAAGAACCTGGAAACGAATGACGATTTACATATCAGGTGATGTATCAAATACTAAAGGCACTGGCACGTGTTGCGAGGGTTGCACGTCGTATTGGCAGGAAGGGTGTAAATACAAAATAGGCTGGATGCGAGTTCCAAATTACCGTTCCTCATTCAATCATTTTCTTGAAATTCACAAATACCAATGGTAACGTAAAAAATACTCAACTTCAACAATACTAACACTTTGAAACTCCATGCACCTTCACTGGAACACATGAATATTCTGCACTAGTTAGAGGCTAATCCTGAGCAACAGAGAACTCGAAACTGGATTATTTAAGTCAACCTCTTTTACACTGACAGCAACAAGTGCTACTTATGTCGGTCGTGAAATATCCAGAGTTAATTGATGGTTTTCACGTCGGCCATGTCAATGAATTATTTTGTTATATCCTCCAACATGGCCGCCGTGTCTTTTGTTGTTTAATTCTCTTGGGAATGGTTGAAAACCATCAACACGAATTATATATTAGATCCATGAATAAAAGATTAAGGGCAAATACCTCGACCACTGCTTTCTGTAGGACTGGTCTGACACGATCTCGCACTGGAAGAATCTCTCCATCGACGTCACGTGGTGTAGGAGGGTGGGGAAGCTGTGCCCCTTCATCCTGTTTAGACAGAAATAAGATAAATCCATCCATAATTATAAGCTTGGTCTTACTTAGCTCCACTATGTTAAGGCTTTAGACGCTCCGAGATATCATATTGATGAAGGTAGCTCCACGTATAGTTTATAGACCTCTCCTGCAACTATAACTATCTTAATTATACAGCTTCTCATTAATCCCATATAGGTAACTGTCCAATTATTTCCTTAATTGGACAGGTCTTGTTGATATGGAATTAATTAGGCAGCTATATAATTAATAGGTAATGGGATTTCATGCTCCCCAATCAAGAAATAATTAGACTCGAAAAATTCCTCTGACTGCCAAATTGGACTCGGCCTACGGCCTCATCCAATTTTGTCAGTCCTCGGAATTTTCCTCGTCCAATTATTTCTTAATTGGACAACATGGAGTCCTATTACATATCCTTTTTTAGTCAGTACAGCCCGAATGGCATCAAAAGCATTTTATGTGCCTTTTTAAAGTCCTTTTTGGGGGGATTGTCATCACAGGGTTCCCACACCTGTAACCTCCTTCCCTTGAGTAGAGATTAACACCATTGTTTCTGGAATATTCAATGTCTTACCAAGAAGAGCTCACAGGCAGCCAGGATTTCACCTGATTCGTCCTCGCCGCGTATTATTTGATGCCAGAGAAGTCTGCAGGGTTGACCTTCGATGCCATTCATTTTTGGTAATGGTTTGAACTCCGTACGACCGAGGAAATCATCTTTCCCCTGTAGGTTAGATGTGTTAATGAAAAAAATATTGTCAAGCACGAGGGAAATACAATTATTCATGAAACAAATAAACATCATCAATAACGCATACATTAGAAACAACGAACACTATACAGTACTACGACGATAAAGGCGAATCAGTACAGTAAACAAATAAAAAAATAAAACTTGAGAACAAGGCATTAGATAATGTGAAGATCCTAGTAAACGGAACCATTTTCTAAAAACATTTTATCGGAGGAGGGAGGGAAGGTCCGGTAATATATATGTATTTGGGGGGGAGGGGGGGKAAGACAATAATTCCCGTATAGTATAACAGAATAGGGGTGGGGAGGGGGGTGGGTAATATTCAGGGTAATGACAGGGATAGTTATACTTCAAGTAAAAAGGGTGGACAAATATGGTTTTACGAACAAAAATTACACAACAAATGTTACAAGAACACACACACACACA